TCCTCTTGAACCAGAACTTGCCAGCGCGGATAAACCTCGTTAAACGTATCTATGATTTCTTGATACCCCTTCTCCGTTGGCCTTCCGTTAAACTCCAAAATACTATCTATTCGATATTGTGTTCGTATAGAAGCTTCATACTCTAGCAGTAGTGAACGCGAGGCGAATATGTTCGCAGATCGAGAAACGATGTACTCTGGAAAGTTCCAGCGTGCGATCTTCGCCAGGATGATTGTCGTTAATGACTTCTCGGTCCATTCCGTGGAGCGGTAGAAGACAAGATGGACGCGCTCAAAAAGCTTCAAGGTATCCAGGGACAGTCGTATACAAGGCCCCGTCTCTTGCATGATCCTACGCGTAAAGTGCGCGTCTCGATTGGCATCATCGGAGAGGTCGCCTTCGGGTTCTAGCTCGACTTCTGGTGTTTCTGGTCGAGACCTAGACGCGGATGACCCTCGTGAAATTTCCGAGTCTGACCGCTTCAGTCCAACGTAGCCCAGACCTGCCTGTTTCTGGCTTGTGCGTCGCAAGGCCTTCAAGAGCTCCCCCTTGTTCTTCCCTTTGACCTTGGCGTCTTTCGCAAGAGCCTTCAGTTCATCGAGTTTCAGTAGCGATGATGCCTCCTCTAGTGTGCTTATCTCCTCTTCGGACCGGTCCGCGAATGTGAACGAGGTGCCCAATGTCGTCCCTGCTGGTGCCTCCAACTCGCCCGGATGTGACTCAACTTCGGAGGAAGACGGAGGGAGATTGTATGTGCGCTGAAGTGTCTCGGCGGCTGCTTCAAGGTCTGAAATATCACTATGGTAGCCCAGGTTCTTTATCCGATGCCAGACGGACGTCTTGCGAAGGAACAGCCGTACATATCTATGAATGAGAAAGCAATCAGCAACAGCATGGACGGTCTTGTACTCCCGATTCAGACTTACAAATACTGTGCTTCATAGCCTATTTCCCTCCATATCCGAAAGACATCTGTTTCAGCCTCATCAAAGAGATGGCTTTCTTCATCCAACACTGTATCCAGTGCTAAGTTAAATGCATCAACATAGAGCGAACTTTTACCCCGAATCCATGCACGTTTCTCCAAACGCTCATCCGCTCTTTCGGTTTTGCTCTCCTCCTCTGCCTTGTACGCCTCGTATGCTCTGATGGCGTCATCACTCGTATCGACTTGAGGCAACGCAGTCTCCAGGTCTGTCTTGTGTTCTCTCTCCTCTTCTTTAATCAAAATGCTCTCACACTCGTCTTCGGAGTCGAGCATTTCGCGCTTGGTCGTTTTCCGTGGTGTTGGCGGTGGTTTCTTGGGGCTGTTGCCCGTCTTCTGGCGCTTGGCCGGTCGATCTTGCTCGCCATCGAAGTTGGTGGATTTTGGATGCTTGATGAACCGGGTAATCATCTGGTTGTGTACGGAAGGACTTCGAGGATTGAGCGCCATTTTCGTCGTCGCAGTAAGCTGCGAAATGACGCCTCGATCTAAGGCAAGTACTGCCTTGCCACAGGCACGGTGACACGCGAGATCGCGCTGTCACGAGGGGACTAAGACTCACTAGGTTTTAGCGCGGTCTGAGCAGTGACGTCATCGGCATGCACCTGAGGTTCAGGTGAACAGCCTTCGTATGGTTCAACGGATTTGAATATTGCTCAACTAGGGAATACCACGAACGATGCCTCTATTTTACCGCATAATAAACACTCAGTGAGATGTTTCTATCATCATAGTTGCCTTGTTTGGCAATTCTAGGTATGTATACCTCAAATGTGTCTTCGGTGATTGAAGGGTACTGGCTTGCTCACTCAGTATTGTCGGTAACTATAGTGCACTTGTAAGGTCTCCATTGAGCAAAGCAGATAATTACTACAACCGAATGTATCAGAGTTTGACTGTCTCAGTAGTAGTATCAAATCGTGGGCGATTACTCGTCGAGTGAACAAAATCAGACCAGAATCAACGGTAATGCGAAATCGACTCGAATAGGAATTGCTGACTAGATATAGCGAGCATCTTTAGACAGCATTAGTATCAAAAATTACGCTGTGGTGGTGGCTCAGGCGAAGGTAACCGAACAGCAATCGACTTTTGTTAATACTTGTCTAGGTAACGCAGTAAGATACGCAGTAGGTTGAGACGACATGTACATATGAATCATGAAGCCAGTGCTTTCTATAAGCCGCCCAGAAACTCCTAAACTGTAATTTTGACAGAGACGAATAGATGCAGAAAACGTTACCAAAGGTGGTGCGGATAGAGAAACTCCTGCTACGATCAGCATTATCTAATATTACTTCATTGCGTGACGTCTGGCTCTAGGTGGAACAAGATTTGACGTATTCATTGCAACTGGAGAAGAACACTGAATCATATATAACTTCATTTTACCATCTTCCTGCCTGTCCCTCAGGCCCTTCGCATCGAACTGTCCTTGATTGCCCTAACTCCAGCTGACTTCCCAACCATCGATCACTCTGAATCTCCACTTCTGTATCAACTTGTACATCCATACGGACAATACCATTCTTTGCCTTCCGGCCACTCACCTCTCCCTTACCCGATCCCTTCCCATCAGTTCCCGCAACCTCTTCTCTTCTCATAAACGGATTTTCGGTTTCTTGAATCTGCTCATCGAAGGTGCATATTGCTCTTACGCCTAACTTCATATCATGTGTGAGTTCGATGTCATCTGAGCCGGAATTGATGAATGTTGGTACGCGGCTTTGACGCTTGCTTCTAGGCAGATTACCATATCTCTGTGAACCGTATTCAGGTAATTTTGATCGCCTGGTGGTGTAAGAACCCGTATGCTCACGAAGGAAGCGTATATGTTCCCGGAGAAGAGGCCATATACTAGGAAGATTGGCGACGTAAACTGCAACGGAAGCTTCGCGGGTGTACCACAGCATGTATGTGGTAGCATACACGTTTGAAAGATTGTAGATCTTGGTTAGAATGGCTGCAATGATCTGATCAAATGTGTTAGTAAAACGAAGGTTGTAAACCAGGAAAGAGAAGGGAGCTTACAACAAAAGTGCCCATGCTGAATAGTATGCCTAGAACAACCTTCTGTTTCAAGGGAAGAGAAAGCGATACGATCATCGGTATCGGCACAGCGATGATAAGGACATCGCTGCTTAGATTGAAAGCTGCTTGTACAATCGCGAAGTGCTCGAGTGTCGTACATTGCGGGTTTGGAGGCGGCACTGCCCAGTATCCTGTGAATGGACGGCATGCACTGAAGAAGGCAATCTCAACACTCAACCAACCAAAAACAACCCATGTTGCAGCCGCTTTGATCCATTTCATGTTTGTCGTTCCAGTGAGCATGCGGGCATACATGAATAGCATACAGGCCTTCAAAGACCAAATTACGTTCAGCATGCACTGTTTGATGTTAGCTGTGTGTTATTGTGTATTCATACGTTCCGGGCTCTGCTAACACACTTGCTCGGAGATGACCACGATCTTGGATCCTTTGATTCTCTCGTCAATCTCTTTCTGTGTGAAAGTGGAGAACTGCTCTGGTGGGAAGAGATTGCTTCCACCCCCTGTCGCAATGATGTTCAGGCATACTATTAGCCCAGTGTAAAAAAGTGGTACTGCCGTTATCATCATCCAGTCATCTGCTGCAAAGCCGCGTAGACTTCGGACTCGGCACCATCGCGCAAACCTATGACTAAGAATGAGCATTGTGATATCCTTTTGCTAGGTGTTACTAACATGCGAAGCAAGATGACAACCATACCGATACTATATAACGTCCATGATTGCGAACCTAGTTGTTCTGGAAAGTCAGACATTCTGGACCTTTGCGACGATGGGTCGGTGTATCGAAGTATGTTTTGCTTTCGTCTGCAAGTCGTTCACAGGGTACCGTCCATGCAAATTGCGATTCAAGGGATGGCTTCTCTTGTCGTGAGATGCTTCATGCATTACACTTCTTCGTGTTTGCGTTGGGGCATAACTTATTAAAAGGAAAGCATTCACAACAAAATGGTAGATAACAAGTTAAAGCTTGCAGGCCGCAATTACTCGATGACCCGGCCGAGACAGATATGATGTCGCTCACCTACCCACGCACCTGGAAGTCAGGCCATGTCCTGCATATCGAGCAATTACCCTAGCACTGTTCCCACATCAACATTTCCGCGCAACAATAATCCCTACTTCAGATCCTTCAAGGGTCTTTACCGTGAATGACCCTGTCGTGGTGATCAACATCGCAGTCGGCCTGCGTGGCTAGTCCAATGCGCCAAGTGATTGACTTGTGGTCGGATTCTCAAGAAAGGCATGCAATTGGTGAGACGTTTCGCAGAAAAACACGCTTGTACTCGAATAAGGCGCGGGATATAACGAAGAGCCAGTACAGTGGGAATTTGTACACTGCCTGAGACGGGCGCTTCCACCCGCACGGCAGCTATCTTTCGGACAAATTATGTATGGATGAATCGGGCTACGATTCATCATCCTCAAATAATTGCGAGGTCCACATGTAAGCGATGCGGGCTGTACACCAAGGCAATGAAATACGAGCCCTGCCACCGTTCAAGCGCGTAAGCGCAGCCACATTGCACACAAAGACGTTATGTGGTGGAGGCGTGGTGTGACAAGAGTGATTGTCGAAGATAACGGAAAAAGCAAATGCGACACTTCTGAGTTGGGCCGAAACGAGAATGACATTCGCCAAGCAGACCCTAACCATGTCGACGCCAGCATTTCATAGGCTGTTTGAAATTTACCAAGGCTTGATTACAAGGAACCTATCTCAAAAGGAGCAGTTATACATTCTGAAGATAAGAAAATATGCAGGTCCAACCCACCCTTCTCCACTATATCAACGGCGGAGAAACCGGAACAGCTCCATAGGAGATCTTCGTCCAGGTACCAAGCCACAAAATGCAGGGAATGATTGAACATATATGCCGTAGACAACGCCAGAGGAACGGTGAATGTACACGCTAAACCGCTCAGAAAGCTAAAAGGTAGGATCCATAATAGGAACACTCATCTAAAGCGCCCAACTGCCTTTCCTGACGGCAGTGCCACGCCCACCAACCATAAATTCGTCTTCGGACATGTTGGGATGCTGCCTGGCCCACTCTTGAATGTAGATACGTAGAGCGCGCCAGCGCATGCACGTCTCCTCGGTAATCTCGGTGTCCTTCAGGTTGCCGTCTTTGCCAAGACGAATGTAACCGCGGGAAGATGCAAGGTGGTCGTCTTGTCTCAGCTCGGAAATGGGTATGTGAGAGATCTTTGAAAGTTCTTCGTCGAATGGACGGGCCATTGACGGGTATCCAAGTGATAGGTAGTTATACACTTGAGTGACAAAGTTGTCACCGAATTCCTCTTCGATGGACTGCTCGACAGCGAGCTTCTCATCTATACCTGAGAAGCCAGTGTTTTCAAAAGTGATGCCAGAGCTAGATGCAGGAGGTGTAGGTGGCAAAAGACTCGTAGAAGGCGTTGGACAAGGCGACATAGGATTTGGCTTCTCGTTGTGGGGGGTGAGTAGACCCGTCGGCCCGCGTGGGGACTTGTCTCCACCATTGACGCAAAACCCACCCCACAATCCTGTAGTGCTCGAGGCTCGGCTGTTGGCGTTAGACCACAGTGAAGGTGTTGTACTTGTTTGTCTGCCATTGCCTTTGCCACACCAAAGACTTTCCCCTTTTTCGGACGCAGCCTTGGACTGTTCAGAGAGGTAGCACATAGCTGTCCTAACTGCATCACACCCTTGAGTAGGGTCAAAGCGGGATGGCTCCGGCGACTCGCATCGCGGAAATTTGATATCCTGACCAAGCATTGGAGGTCGGGCTTCTTTACGTTGACGCTCCAATTCAGGATCTTTCCGCTCATTCGCAAACTTCTTGGCTGTGGCAGCATCTAGGAAGCCGGCTGGGTTTCCAAACGGACTGAAGGCAGGCTTGATATATTCTTTCGGCTTCTGCTTCTCCTTGTCGGCTATTTGCTTCTCTCGGTACTCACGCATAGCCACTAGATCCCAATTAACTTGTGTGAAAGACGACTCCCGCTGCTGCTGCTGCTGCTTGGCCTCGGTAACAGATGGTTCCGAGCCTTCTGTATCATGATCCACGTAATGGGCCACAGGCTCGTGGAAATCGCTATTCGGGAATGCAGCCAAGGCCTGTTCTCGGAGCTGCTTCTCAGCAGCCTTAGCTGCCAGCTCAAGTAGGTAACCGGCAGAACTATCATCGACACTCTCTCGTCGTCGAGTAGCCTCTTTGTACATGAATGAATGATCCGAGGTGTAAGGTGGTGACTCTGTGGGTGATGGCGGGGCGGACGCTTCAGACTCTGAAGACTCAATCGGGTCTAAGTCTGGAACACGGAACGAGTGTTGTGAGCAGCTAAAGTACGACCGGCGTCTACACGGTGAGGCGTTGCGTTGTATCTCCAAAAACAAAGGGTTCTGGGTAATATCAAAAGTCGGTGTGTTTGTTGGCGGTGTGGGTGGTATTCCCAATATCCTTGCTTTCCGGGCACTTATCGCTGAGTCTGGAGTGGCCTCAGTCTTGTCCGATGGTAGTAGAGTGGGCATGTCGTCTCCTGCTTTGCGATGCCTCTGGGCAGTCTCAATCAATTGTGGCCTGAATTTCTTTGTAGGTGGCTTTAGCGCACCCTTGAACTGACCATTACTGATTGCAACAGCTTCCATAGGGTTTGCTTTGAACTTTCCCGTGGGGGACGTCTGTTCTTCCCAGTCCTTGGCAAATTTCTGGCGGCTGCTCCGTGTTGTTGTCTCTATTGGCTCGGGAGCAAAGCGACGGTTGGATCGCTTGGTAGTCTCAACAGGCTCGGGGGCAAATCTACGGCTAGATTTAGAGCTCGAGGTTGTTGTTTCTATTGGCTGTGGTGCGAATCTTCGTGGTTTCGGCCTCTCTGGCTGGTCTGCTGGAGCCTTGTCCTTGGAGGACGAGACGGTCGTCTCGATAGGCTCGACCTTGAACCGCCTGGGAGGAGCTGCCGACGCCATGTTAAGTATATGCAGCACTTGACGGGTGTTCCCTTATGCTATGCTTGTATTGGTAATACTGTATGTCACTGACGATATGATGTCGCCAATAGCAAGATTATTCGGTCGCCCGGGTACACTAGTGGCAGACACCGAGTATCTGGGGTGATGCGGAAGCGCACCAAAGCGGGGAATTTATTCGGGATATTTCGGAGGCATAAAAAGCGTGAACGGGCGTTTCTGCGTGTGCCAGCTACTCTGCGGACGATGCTCGGTGCAGAATCAAGCCCATGCAAGCCCCGATGGCTGTAGATGGTGGTAGAGTCGGAGGGCTAGAGGATGCAGCCAATGCAGGCCTGCTCAGGAATGCGGTCGCGTATGCGGCGGTGAATTTGTGGGTTCGCAGGGCTCAAGGGTGCTTGTGTAAACTTTGAGGTTGTCAGTCGCGTGCCCATTTGCTTTTGCAGAAGGTGGAAGCTCCAACGCACCGTAACCCGTATCGCAGTTCCCACACGGCCAGGGGTTTGTCGAACTGCGGAAAGCGTCTGAAGGAGAGTTTGCCGGGAAACATGTGAAATGGCACGACGTCGAGGAGGATCTAGAGCTTGTGGTGCAGGATGACGTATAGTGTAGACAGTGGCATCAACAGCCCGAGAGCTACAGCGGGGGTTGCGGGTTTGGGTAAAAGAGTGCACTGATGGCGGGCACCGTCAGTTATATCCTGGGCGGCTGTGCAACGGCGTGGTTAGACGGTCAATCGTGCGAGGAGCTCGTTGGGTGATCAATGTTGATGTTTCATTGTTGGGAGAAGGATAGCGCTCCGACCAGCTCTCGAACCAGCAAGATCGAGGCAATTAAACTGTCTCGTCAATGCATGCACCGCTATTGCCTCCAAAGATAACCATGGTACTTAAGCCAAAGGGGCCATAGTAGAAAGTTCTAGGGCTCGGTGCGTGTCAAGTAGCTGCCCGATGGCAAGCCACAGCATGTGCGGCGGTCAGTCGAGTCAGCTCAACAGTCAGCCCCCCGACCGCATCTTCGGCACCTTAATTCGCTAAACAGTGCGCGGCGCAAAGGTGGAGAGAAGCCGGGTGGGTCTACTATCAGGACTAGACAATTCCATGTCGACCAACACGAAGAATCATCGACAGCGACCTGGGGGATCGGCGGATGGCATACGCTTCTCCACGACTCCACGCCGGTTTGTTGTTGAAGACTGAGTCCAGCTTTCTGGTACGACAGAAGCTGGTCAAGTCTTTGCATTACAGCGAATGCGATGCGGCATTTAGATGCTAATCAATCTTCTAATAATACGGACCCTGGCCGCGCAAGTGTCTCCGTCCAGGAGCCGTCAGAGGGTCTGCGCATCGTATACCCACGCTGGCGGCTGATGCCCGCGGGCAACTTTCTTCTCTCCACGCACGTCGCCATGATGGCATGTTTGTGGAATAGTCAGCGACACGACTGCCTCGACACGTCTCACTGTAAGTCGCTGGCGACATGCGCAGGCAGCATACTCAAGTTGCGATCTCGCGGTGACTATGCAGTACTGTCACGAAAAGCAAATGGTCGGGTTCGGGCGTTTCCGGGTGACTTCCACGGTTGACACATGGACGGTTACGACAACCACAAATGGACACTTCTACCATTCCATACTCCACTTCTACACCCATACAGCCTTTTACCCGGCTCTGGGCACATGGCTAGTCACAACGCATGCGCTTTCTTCTCTGCTTGACACAACTGCGAGTTCACATGTATACAGACTTACAGACAAAACCTCGTCCAACGCAATAGAGACATTGCTAACATTCTGAAACCCAAGGCGAACTTGACATCCAGTAAAGGCGGCGCCAAAATAGCAAACTCCATACTCCTTGAAGAAAAGGTCATACCACCAAGCCCTGCAAAGCCCAAACTACGGCGGAGAGATGTATCCATATGCAGGCGCGTACCCATTCCACGACTGTTCCACCAAATACCAGAGAGGCGAGCGATCCGGAACGACCAGATGAGACGCAGGGTCCCCGCGGCAGTGTTCGTACTGGGGGCTGAGACGCAGAGGTGTCTGCAAGAAATGGTATTCAATGCCAATAGGCAATGGCGTGGCAAAAGACATGCTACTAATCCAATAAAGAATTCCTGGATCAGGCGATCGGCTGCGAGTGCTTCCGCCGGTGGAGGTTACTGGGCTGTGTGCAAATGGAGAGTGGTCCGCTGTAACACACGGTTCGACGATCAGACTTCCTTCAGGTGGTTGTCCATAAACGACAGTATTAATACAGTCTGTCGGATCTTGGTCTGAGGAACCTGTTGTGGAGTCGTTTGTATCGTGAGCCATTCCGACATCTTCGTCTTGCGATTCAGTCATCGAACTTTGATCCTCATCCGCATCAACGGCAGTCTCTTCGTCGCTTACTCCAGCACCGCCTTCATCCTCGCTGGGCTTCTCGCATCCTTCACCACAATCATATCCGCAGTTTCTCCAATTGAATTGAGGCGGCCTGTCCGAACATGGGCTGACTACAGATGGCTGGTGCGAAGGACTGTTCAGGTCATCGTGGTCGTACATTGTAGAGATGAGAAGAACAAAACGACGATGGCTGAGGGTTTGTTAGCAAGTCTAACCATGCGAATTTCATCACTCAACGGGTATAGTCGACATCCAACTGATTGCACACAAGCATATAGGAACAGTGCATCTTACCTTGGCAGATCAACGAGAAAGAAAACAATATGGCAAGAAACGGTAGACAACTCTGGTTATCACACGTGGGCGATAGATTTTGCGAAGATGATGGTATACAGGCTAATAATACAGATCAAGTATTCTCCAGGGCTCCAAACAAACAGACGCTGGGAGGGGAATCGAGAAGCAGAAGCGCTACAGAATATACGCAGACTTTATATTCAATTGACGCCACTGATGATCGGCATCCAGACACAAGGCGATTGAACATACGGATACCCGTAGCCGCTTCCGCGAGAGACACGTTGCTTGACCCCAGGCCTGAGCTGGTCACCTACACGGCTTCAAGACACCGTCACTAGGCCTCTTCCCCGCTTCCTCTGCGACCAATGCACGCGAGAAGGGCCAAAATCTTTCGTCCATCTATTACTGTATCCTGACACCGGCCAGCGACTCCATATTCGGAGGGAGTCGAGAGTACCCTTGAGTAACCACGCGACCAAAGGATAACATAGGATACAATTGCAATCTGTTGGTAACCCGAGGGTAGCCGAGACTTGCTTCATCTAGCCAGATGACGGAGTTTTGAGTATGTCGACGTGAACGTGTCGCATACATGTCCTGAAGGACTCACCGGAGGCCGCCTACATCATTTCCGCAAGTGGGGTAAAAGCCACCGGTCAGCACCGTGAGCAATCACAAGTAAAGGACCTAGGCCTGCCTCAAACAACATTGGTCGCTTCACTTTAGCATGATGTATAGTTACATTGCTCTTTTGATGGATGTTTAAGGTCACGTCAATCTGTACTCCCGTTTCTAACCTGCTGAGTCGGAAGATTTCGCTATTGGTGGATGGATCTGGGATAAGGATGCCTACGTGGTATGTTACTTTGAACATACTCTTCTATTTTCTTTATAGTCCGTCATGATACAACGCGCCGACGGAAATGCATGGTATTCCCCGTACATTAGCCTTCAGATGCCGAGTTTCCAGATCCAGCCATGACGTCTTTATACATTGGTGAATATCTTTCTTTGCCGTCCTGCTTATTTGTTATGCCAAAGCAACGTTCGCAACGAATCCCAGTCGTCCGATTGTACATAACTGTCGACGTATTAGCGCAGCTCCATGTTACCTCAGCTTCCAAGGGTACCCACATATAACTCATACTACTCCTCAAACTACTTTGCACACTCTCAGGATGCCACCTGAAGATATACATGACCATGGCCCAACTCAAACTGGCAAAAACTGGCCATCCATTCTTCGCCATCTTCTTCCTCATCTCTCCATTACCAAAAAGCTCCCACCCACCACCACCTCCCTTTACTCCTTGTCCACTAGCTCCGCCACCAACATGTCGCGGTTGTACTGCTAACTTTGCTAATGCTAAACATACGCGTGCGGCTACGTAGATGACGATTTGCTGAGACACGGAGTTATGGATTGTGCGACCGAAGACTGTGTAGCCGCCCAACAGACCGGCAAGGAAGGAATCGTAGTGCCTTTCTTTGCCGGTTGGGGAAGTATGTCGGAGGAAGAGCATGGTGGATTTGTAGACGAGGGCGAAGAGGCCGAGGTTACGCGCATGTTGGCGGGTCGCTTTGTAGACGAGTGAACATTTTGACCGGAAACTATTTGGATGGTTGTCAGTCAGCGCCGTCTTGGAATTTGAAAGCGTGCGAGATTCGAGGTAGAAGAGAGTCCGACGTACCTCCCGGATCTGAAGAGAAAGATCATCCTACAACACACGTCAGCTATCCGTTCCCTGTAGCATACGATTTCCGATCAACCTACACAAGCGCATGCGGGAATCGCACTTTACTTCCATATACGATGCCATTCCTTACGCCTTTTACCAGTGTAAGGATGTCGTGGTACTTGGGATCCAACACGATCTTCTCAAGCGCAGCCTGTTGAAGCGTCAGTCAGCTTTGTAGAGGATTTACGATCCAAATCCCTTCCGACGTACTTCGAGGGCGTGTAGCTTGTCCATGGTGTTCCTCTGTATGTGCTATGGACTGTGTTGTGATTGCTTGCGTTCGGCGAAGATAAGCCTCGGTCCAGCGCGCGCGTTGCGATGACGTTTGTCGCTACCTCATACAACCGCGGAATCCTTGAACGCGAGGATACAAGGAGTGAAGAGAAGTGTCAGGATAAAATGCACGTATCATGAGGCCAACATGGGAAAGGTGAGCGAGGGTTTGTAGTCGGGTATAACACGGAGCAACTAGAGTCGCAGTCGCGGAATGGCTGCTGGCATTTGATCCTCGGCTCGCGTCTGTCACGTTGCCGGTCGCTGCTTCCCCACATTGGAGCAGCTTCGCGCTAAGCGAAAGGAAGGGACAGGGGTTGTTTGCGCATTGACATGTGAAGACAAGATGACATGGATGACAATGACATGTGCTATTGCTGCCCTTGCGTGCTCTATGATGTAAGAATATTTATTTCTATGCGCTTAAAGCAACGATATATGGTATCTCGACGCTCTTGCCTGATGCTTTACAAACGCCCTCCAAACACCGTCATATGCTGCTCCTGTCAAGCCCCTCCTTTCGCGGCATCTTTCTACTCTGCCTGTCGGGTAGGCCATCGCTTCTTCAACTCCTCGTATACGGTAAATATGAATGCAGAACTGGGTATAGATCTTGCGACTGTGATGCCGCATCCACGGTACATGCCTTTGATACCGTGCTGCTTCCAAAGCGCTTTTCCTACAGCGCTGAACGTCGACTTTCCACCAGTCAACTGCTTGACATCTTCCGTCTGCATTCTCGACTTGATGGTATCGGCAGGATAGAACATGAAGTTATAGGCTCCACCTGCGACGGAACCAGAGGCCATGCGCTGCCAGACTGGAAGATCTTCCTCCGTGGCCGAAGTACTAGAGCCCTTGAAGAGGATCTTCATGCCTTCGTACCCACCAAACCATGCTGCACCGCCTCCTGTCTCGCGGATCAAGGTTCCAAATTGTCCGTGCCAGTAGCCAGTAAGGCCCTGGTGACGATAGATAGAAGCAATGACACCGCGTATGGTTGGTGCGGCTACGATGTTGCCGTGCGCTTCTAGAGGGACTTGCATCTTGCATTTGACAAGTTCAATGGGTGTAAGGAAAAGCGATGTGATGGCACCAGCGATCATTCCGCAAAAGAGCATGCCGGAATAGGGTAGGTCCCGGTCCGGATGTTTGTTCAACTCTGGATAGAATCCTGAAGACTTGAGTGCATCGCCAGCGAGACGATACTGCAGGGCATGTCAGTATGGTTTACTTTTTGTACACACGTCTCACTCACACTGAAGAACAAGGTGCTGGTCTCTACAGCAGCTCCAACCAGAGGTGCACTAATTCCTCTGTATATGCCAGTGAAGCCATCCTGTTGTAGAGACTTCTTGAAGCAGTCTAATGGCCCGGTGTAGCGGAGCGGCACCTGATCGGGCTGTGACTGCAGCCGGACCTTGATGGTATCGAAGGGGTACTCGATGTACTTTCCGACAACTCCAGCTGCCGATCCACACAGGACGTCCTTCAAAGCTTCTTCTCCCTTGCCGATGGCTTGTGCCGCAGCAGGACTCTGGACCTCTTCCATGATGACTGGGTTCGGCAGCCTGCCTCTTCCCCCCACCACCGACACCGAACTCTTTTGTGCTTCCATGAATCAGGAGTATATGGCTCGTCAACGGGTATGTGCAGGCGTGTTGAATGTGTGTTTACGAAGCGGCGCGCATGTTGTGTGCAAAGAGTCGTGGGCGGTGAGAGGGCGCGTGGCTACTGTTATGAAGCGGAGCCCATGTCAATGATGATGTGCGGCAAGGACGTTTGTGGTGGTGCGAGTGGTGCGAGGGCAGGAGGTGTGTAGCACGACACGAAGAGAGTTCCCGTGGGTCCTGTGTGACTTTGGGTGAATGCAACAGCAGCCCAACGACCAGGGCACCCTTAGTTCAGAAAATTCTGCCGGGAGAACGTATTAGAGGAATGGAAAGCGCATAGCGCCTACTGCTCCAGACCATGTGCATGCCGTGAGCGCATTATGGATGTGAGGGACTAAAGCGCACAATACGCGTCGTCAGCGCCTTCCTGCATCATCTTATCTGATCGATCTGATTAACTCTGTCGCCGCCGCTGCCGTGGAAAACCGCCCTAGCTGCTTTGGGCGAGTGGTACTGGCTATTATCGATAAGCACCCGTGGACTTTTCTTGTCAATCCCATTCCCGTGCCAAGGTCCACAGGTCGCGCAACACCCCAAACATGTCTGAGTCTGTAATAATCGAGGCGCCTTCCGCGACGGAAACTGCCCCTGTCAAGGGCATGAAGAAGAACGGTATGCGACAGCTGTGTGCGAGTTGCGCAACGACATTCTAACTTTGCACAGGCAAGCAGTGGCACGACAACAAGGGCCCGTTCCGACCGAAGGCAGGTCAAACCTCTTGGGAGAAGCGCAGTGAGGAGAGGAAAGCGCTCGCTGCTGTCAAGGCCAAGGAGAAGGAGCTAAAGGAAGAGAAGGAGTCTGAGAGACAGGTAGGAAGCCATCCATGATTACTGGCTACAGCGGAAAAAGGCTGACGATACAACAGCGACGAGTCGAAGCAATCAAGACCAAGCGCGCGGCCAAGGAAGAACGGGAGCGATTTGCCAAGATGGAGGAGAAGATGCATAAAAGGCGCGTAGAGCGCCTGAAGAGGAGAGAGAAGCGCAACAAGATGCTCAAGTCATGAGCTTGGTAGTGGCAGGATTGTAGTCAAACTGTAAAGCACGGTGAAGGAATTGCCGTTCCATAAGGAGCATGCCATATGGGCGCAGAGGAGCGACTGAAAGGCACAGAGACATGATACCCTAAGCATTTGGACATAGGAAAGAGTAAAACGCATTTTTCTTTTGCAAAATGCTGTCCGTGGTCCTGAATTACGCATTACTATCGTCCACTCAGTGTCCTAAACACATGGACATATGAGTACTTGTATAGGCAGTTTGCAACTTCCTTTCACATGTTCAGCTACAGCTGGTTAGCGTGAGACCCCTGCAATGCCATGGCACGCGGGATCACCGACCAGTGCCGACGACCAACACCAACATGCCAGCTGAACATGGAGTCGCTTCACCTGCATTCAGGGCTGGCTGACCTCCGCCCAAACCTATACAGTTCCCGATCGGCGACGCGTGTGACATCTGATCCCGACAAGAAGGCGCATCCACATGTCCACAAGTCCTCTCGACACCACCACGACCGTCACCATGGCCATCACCGACATAGCTCCAGCAGACGCCATGCTGCAAAGGAAGCCATGCAGTCGGCCATCCAGATACAGCCGCCTACCAGCTTTGGAGACTTGCTGAGGCAGGCGCGAGGGAGCAGAGACACCAGCCCTAGCCACAGTCGCAGAGAGAGCGTTGCGCCAGGACAGGCCGATGGCAGCGTCAACGGAAAGGAGGAAAGCACCCCAGGCATCACCATTCCGCCGCGGAGGCCACTCCGGCAGGCGGATGTGGAGCTAGAGGCAAAGAGGGTCGAGGCTAGAGAACGGTACGTCTGCGTCATTCGCTCTGCAGTTGGTAGCACTTGTTGCAGCAACATGTCTTCTCTAACATGGCGCGTAGAGACCTCCGTGCTGTCCTCCAGTCCCTCTCCGACCAGTCCCTCAAGACGTCGCGCCGTCTAGACGATACATACTACTCCATCCTCGAGAAGGTTTCCGTACTGCGCCAGACCATTGGAACGCTGCAAGAGCTATCGGGCTTGACCAAAGAGCTCCATGACAACTTCGAGTCGGACACCACAGAGCTGGTAGAGGATGTGACTGGTCAGGTAGAAGCCTTCGACGGCTTCAAGGCACAGCAAGAGCAGGTCAGCGGCTTGGAAGAGCGCATCAGAGCGGGCAAAGAGAAAGCAGATGCTTTGACAGCGAGACTTGAACGAGCGAAAGAGCGTGTCGACGCGAGGGCCAAGTCAGAGGCGCAGTGGCAGGCCAAGAATACCCGTATAGCTGTCCTCATACATACAGTTTGATCTATTGGAGCTGACATGACACAGATCGCGTGCGCATCTTCTGGGCCATAGTCGCCTTTGTAGCCACGCTTATACTAGCTCTCGTTCTCTTCCGCCCGGCTCAACCGACCCATCGTGTACCTGAACCGCAGAGCACTCTCGACCCCGCGACCAGACAAGCCATTTTGAACGCAGACATCCCAAACATAGCAAAAGAGGCAATTATAGGGCCGTTAACCAGCACCGCCAATCACGTCGTCGAGACCATTGATCCGCACCTTGTACTCGAGGACGATGAGCGATTGCGCGGATTCGACGAGCTGTAACGCTTTCTATCATGTTTCCCTCTAGCCTCTTCTCAAGTACCGTGATACCCCCTAGAATAATTCGACTTTAATACTCTTCACGATCATACGCCGTAGAACTTGGCCAACTCTTCATCTACCACAAACAGCATCTTCCCTTTGATCGCACTCCCGTTGATAAGGAGCTCATGCGCTTCCACTGCGTCGCTCAGTCTCAACAGCTTCGCAACAACGGGATCTAATTTCCCCTCTCTTACTTTTTCCACTACGGCATAAAACTCCGCCACTTCTTTCTTCTTTGGGAACTCTATGTCCAGCGACCAGAATCTCACTCGTGGAGGTTGCAACAGTGCTGCAAACAGTTCATCGATGCTTCCCAACATCTTGCTCCCATCATCAGCAATACTTCCCATGGCTCCAAAGACAACTACTTTGCCAACATCTTGCTTGGTTGCTGCGAGGAAGTCGTGTGCAGTCTTTTCATTGCAAACGCCATCATATGCAACGTCAACTCCTTTCCCGTCTGTCAGTGCATGAACTTGTTTAACAAGATCTGGAGCACTTCGATCCAGCGGCACCACACCCAACGAGCGGACATATTCAAACTTGCTCGGCGAACATGTTCCGATCATCTTGATACCCTGCAGATGTGAACATACGAAGTCAGTGTATGTCTCGCATACATTCCGTACGGCGATAACTTACCATATCGAACGCCGCGACAAGCTGCGCAACAGCCGTACCCAGTCCTCCACTTGCACTCCCAATCAAGATGCTCGAGCCGGGCGCTAAATCCACACCACTGTGCTTCAGCATGCCCCATGCTGTCATGTAATTCAGCGGCAGTGCACATATCTTTAGTGGATCGTCATGCTTGTCCAGCTTCATGACTTCTTCATAGGGTAGCACGATATGTGTAGCGTGCGCACCAATGATACTCAATGCCGCCACTCTTTCTCCAATCTCCAGTCCTCTCTCTTCTGGCACAGCATCACCCAGCGCTATGATTTCGCCCACAAGGTCATACCCAGTTGTGAACCCAGGATCTTTTGCCAACGGATGAGGGTAGCCTCCGCAACGTTGTATATTGTCGACTCCTGCGATACCAGCAACAAGAATGCTGACGAGGACTCCGCCGGCAGAAAGCGAGGCCGTGGGATCGAACGCTTCCCATCTTAGCACGGATGGCTTGCCAAATTCTGTGACTACCCAACGCCCTGGCGAAGTTGGTGTAGAAGAGGTGTTGGGTATTGAAAGGGAGGGAGACATGACTAGGAGTGGACACGAGAGGGAGGTTGTCGATAATCGAATTGTACCGGGTGACAAGCAGCACAGCACGAAGGACGAGGCTGCAACACTTGTATGTAAAAGTGCTGCGTTAGTACGATATGATTATCAAGAATGCACTATATCCTGCAGGGCTCAACTGTATTTCTAATCGATCGTCCCCACTCTGTGTCAGCATCTTGAGCCGTACATTCGATACCTCGGAACATTTGAACACCAACTAATCGACCATATCCCGATTGAATTCTCGTATTTTATTCAGATATCGACTTCACACTGGTTTCCACTTCTTTCTCCCAGCATCACCCACTCGTTATACTGGCTGGGCCAGACACAATTTCACTCAATAGTTCTTCCCATCGCCAGGCTTGCGCTTCAAGTCCTCGAGCTTTACGCCCTGAAGCATGCGTACGTTGACACAAGTCATTCCAGGAAAGAAACTAGGGTCTTTGGAGCGCACCATGCACGATGCGCCACAGGTGCCGCAAAAGTAATGATTCATCCTTTTAAAGCCAAAAGAGTAAGACTGTGTATCGAGGTCAGCGTACTTTAGCCTTTTAAAGCTTGCTTCGATCGTATCAGGCTTACTTTGAACTGCTCAATACTACCCTCGGTGAAAATGACGAGTTCGTCGGGCACGTAGACAAAGAGGTAGCCATTGCATACGCAGATGCTACAATTGCATTCCATCACAACTGCATTTGGGTCATCTAGTGGAGGTGAAACAGCGACAGAGTATCTGAAGGCACCGCAGTGGCATGATGCGTCGTAGGTTTTCTTTGGAGCGTCGGGTGATGGTGCAGTGGGGAGCGCAACATCGGGTTCGGCTGAGTCTGACATACTCCGCTATGCTGTAATTTTTTTTGTTTGGGAAAGACTATTGCAATATCTGCTCAGGATGGAAGTAAGAGAGCTTGAAGATAGCGGGTGAGATGTAAGATTGGCGGACTTTGGAGTCCTTGATATTAACAGCTGCTGCCTAAAGTATCGTACTGCGTCCCACACACAAGCTACCATTCCTATCTTTAACGCTCGCAAAGATCGACCCATGGTTTACTCGTCGTGGCGTGTAAGGCGCCCTGCTGCTATCGCGAATCAGATGTATTGACACATGCTGCCGTGACGCGTGTGGCATGCGAAGTCAGCTGAGGACCACTCGCTGACTCGGTAGCGCGCCTGCCTGAGGATATGGCTTTTGCGTTCTCGTATCGGCTATCGATTGGGGCTAAGATTACATACCCGTGTCATGAGGTTCATGGTGAAGGTTCCCCCACCTGAAGTTATCTGGTCCAGGCCTCTGTTCGTTTATTCCTGCCGAATACCCGTTTCTTCGGTTTTGCATTACTTCTCCTAATGTGATTCGTAGCGTCCAGTTGCGCGTAGAGAACGATAACGCAGGAGAGTGAAAGTCGTTGGTGTGAGGATACAGTGAAAGGATTAGAAGATCTCACAAGCTGGTATGATGTTAAGTTTCAAGAAAGGTGCTTCATTATACAAACTTGAACTAAATGGCAATCGGGTATCTTTGTTCGATTACATCGAGTCTACACACTCACACTGTATGAGAATTTCGAGCTGTAAATCCAACAGGCTCAAGCCTGTGCTGGGCGCGCAACACACTAAGAGTCGGTTCTTTGTTCAACTCAGTTGAAGGCTAGCGGATGTGGCGATATATTGAAGCTGATACCCAGCAACGTCCAAGCACAGTTCGGCCAAAACGATCGTGATGCAAACCTGCTAGATGGAGAGAATGACCAGGCGCCATGTATGATGTGTGCGGACGAGAAGAAGTGAATCACATGTACTTATCCTCAGGAGCGTATGACAGAATAGGACGCCCGGCCTAGTAAGGAGGAAGCGTACTCCGGTTTCTTCGATAATTCAGCATACAGGACGACAGCAAACACCGACTTACCTTGTTGCAACGATCAAAAGCTGGGAAAGATGGGATAACTTCACGGAAACCTAAAGGCGATCAGCGTGTAAAGTGGGTACAGATTATCTTTTTGTTACCATTAGAGGTCCTAACTGAAGTGGCCTGGTGACGGCGACTTACGCTCCCTTATCTCAGCGTGCTTGTAACGCCGCATACTCCGATCCAACCATACTGTGATGTACATGATAAGCTAGATAGCCCAGACTCCAAAAAGATTGGCCTATCACTACTCAAACTATAACCAATTCCCAGTTCGCTGAAGACAACAAGGCGCAATAAATCCCCAGGACAGTGGCCCCGGGAAGAAAGCAAATGAAGATACTGGGGATCTTACTTTTAGATGAAAATATCCAGCTCATGTCTCCGGACCTCGTCCTCCTCAAATGTTGGGTAAGCTGGAACCATGGCATCGGCGTTTTGAACATAAGCATCGTTGTAGATGCGCCAGTAAGGTTGTCGCACCTTGCGAGCTGGATGGAAGAGACCGGCCCAAACGTAGTTCATGACGAGCGGAGTACCAATGGCGTTGCGGACACCCTCAATAGCCTCAATGATGCGGTCAATGACGTGAGGACTGGTTTCAAACAAGTTTGGCCAAAGGAGATTGAGTAAGTGAATCATCGCGTCTTCACAGTCGAGACCGACACAACCAAGAGCAACATGCTTGACTACCGAAGCAGCAGTCTGTCGGTGCACTTGGTCTCGATCAATGAGAGCATCCTCGAGAAGTGGTGTGATAGCGTAGACGTAGTCCTTCGCCATCTCGCCAATGTACTCAAACATGAAGGATAACGACTTGAGTACACCATTCTGAACGTTGAGCTCCGGCACGCGATATTCATTCATAAGGGCCGGAAGGACAGTAAAGGGCGCACAGGTCTCTGCAACGATACCGATAGCGACGGCAGTACAGACACGAGACTGTCGCTCTTGGACTCTGAGGTTACCAAGAAGGGTAGCCAACACATCCTGAGGACCGATGGCTTTGGCGATATAACCGAAAGTATTGTTGGCAGCACGACGGATACCCTTTTTGTGAGCCTTGAGCATGTCCAAAAGTTCGAAGCAGATTCGCATCCATTCGCGAGGGTTGACATAGTTTGCGCCTCGATCAGCGATGCGTCCCACCAGATCGATGGTGTTCTCCTGTACCTTCTCATGTCGATTGCGAAGAATGGGTGTCAGACGAGGCAGCAGATCTTTGATAGGCGGTTGCATAGCGTGGAGACCAACGACTGTGACAATAGCGCGCAGAGCACCAAGAATGGACCCAAGGACCTCAGGGTACTCCTCACCAAGATATTCGTATAGCGCCTGCGCAAGCTTGATGAGCTGTGGATCCTCGTCGCACTTCTGCATCACGAAGGTGATTCGGGAGATAAGGTCCGCCGCTTGCTGGCGAACTGTAGCGGACTTGTTGTTAAGCCTAGCGAGAACCGTCGCGACGATCTGAGGTAGGTAAGTCTTTGTACGCTCACCCAGTGCGTTGACGACCGTAGCAAAACCGTCGATGACAATAGGGTCCTCGATAGTCTGATCCTGAAAAGCGACGAGGACACCATCAATTAGCTGCTCTTCCAAACGCTGGTCGACATCATGAGCTCCGAGGGTGCTGATGACCTTGTCAACAGTTTCGACCGTCATCTTGCGGTATGCTTCGTTCTCATCCTTCATGTTGTTGACAATGCGGCCGACTATCTCAGCAACACCGGCCTTCTGGGCCAAGTCCACAGTGGTGTCGACCACCTGTCGGTAGTTGCGCTTGTCGAGAGCCATACGGCGCACCCAGAAATGCTTGAAGAATTCAGGCAGAACATTGTCCTTGAGGTAGACTGGTGTTACACCTGCAGTGTTTGAACACTGGGAAACGACCTTGAGCACAACCTTCTTCATCTCTTCGTCGGGCGATTGGAACTCGCGGATGACAATTTCCATGATCTGACTCGTGTAGTAGTTGGAGTACTCCTCGTCCATGAGCGGAATAACATAACCGACAGCCTTCAAGAAAGATGCAAGAGCCTTACCACGTTGGCGACGAGCTCCGGTCCAAAGAGGATTCAAGATGTCGTCGAAGGACTCGATACCGTACGGGCTGGCAGCTTCGGCCAGGGCAGCAAGCGCAAGAGCTGTGACCATGCGGACCTTTGGCTGTTCGTCGTTCAAATTCTCGCCGATGCACTCCACGAGTCCCTTGAGGTGAGGGAGAATAGCACAACCCATCAATATAGGAATCTGCTGAACAATCTTCACGCCAGTGTGACGCGCGTGCCACGACTTTTTGGATCGACATACAGCTCGGAGGAAGGGGAGGAGGGCGGGGATACCTAGGGCGGATGCGACGACGGCGAAGGCTCGAGCGGTAGTGTTCCGGACGTATTCGTCTTGGTGATCTAGATCTGGACGCATTGTACTGATCATGTGGGCGAGACCAGCAGCCTTTGCAAGGTTGGAAATAATTTCCCGACCTTCGACACGTGCATAGTAATCCTGGTCGATAAGAAGAGGCTCAATAACAACGAGGATCTTGTGAACGTAGGGTCGGACAAGGTCGTCGAGCTTGTAAAGAACACGATCGATAACTTTGACAAGCAAATGGCGCTCCTGATCCTCCAACGTGCGCTCCATCAGTAGTGGCAGAATCTGGTTGAAGAGAGCTCCTGCGCCGAATTGCCGGGCGTTGTCTGTTAGTTGTCGAAGTGCAGTCTTTCGCATAGGCGGCGTTCCGTTCTTGACCTTGAGCAACAGTCGCATGATCTTGCGCTCTTTCAGTTCCTCCACTGTCATCTCATTCTCGTCTGCACCATCTGTGAGCTTTCCAAAGTATTTCATGTCCTCATTCTTGAAGAACTGCAGATCACCAACGCCAGGAATCTCTGTAGGCAGCTGCTTGCCCATGGCAGCCAAGCTGTTGTCTGCTTCGGGGATCAAGAAACCCTGGTATCCTGTTGGAAGTGCGGGCATGCCCACCGGCCGCCGCACTGGCTCGTACCCTGGAGGTGCCTCGAGGACCTTGTATCCTTCGGCTTCACCAGGAAGCATCATGTCGAGCTGCTCATCGGACAGGGGAGCATTGCGGTTCGAGATGTCGGTACCGAATGCGAATGTCTGCGCAACTGGACGGGCGCCGTTCGCAGCGGGAGCGGGTGTTGCCGTGCTGGCAGGGGCTACAGCAGTGGTATCCCAACGTGATCGGGTTGGCTGAGCGGCCTCGACCTTGTCGTCCTCGGGTGCAGGTGACCATCGCGACCGCTTCTTGGGCTCCGACTCAACCTTGACGCCGTCGGCCTCTTCCTTGATCGCAGGGGTTTCAGCGTCGCCAGCCTCGTCCCACCGTCTCCTCTTGCGAGTCTTCTTCATCGGCGGAGTCTTGTCGCCATCGACGGGAGTAGACTCATCGTCTTTGAGCGTAGGCTTGTGGTCAAGTACCTCGTTCCCCCCCGTCCTTTCCTTCTCCTCGATCAACTTCTTTACACGCGCTTCTTCGCGCTCAAACTCGCGCTGCTTCATCACGTCCTTGTACGACTGGCCACCGTCTTCGCCATCCTTGGCAAACGGATCTGCCCGCGATGGAGAGAGTGCGCGATCGAATCGCCGTCGCTGGTAGTCAGTCTCGCGTGATGCGATCTGAGCCTGCTTCTCGCGACTGTCGAGGATATCCGCCTCTCCCGCATCGCCGTGCGCGAATTCGTTCATCATCTCCTTGGATGCTGTGTACTGCCCGACAAGGCTCCGGCCATTCAGTTGGACGTCCTCCATGTCGTTGTCGTCGTCGGCAACGGCGATGGAACTGACGTAGTCGCCATTGTTTCCGCCGTACAGCTCCTTATCGAGGGGCTCGTTGAGCGACTGCTTGTTGTTCGACGTGTCCCCGTTGGCGGCGCCGTTGGCCCTCGAGTTTCCTGCG